CCCCAAAACCCCAAAACCCCAAAACCCCAAAACCCCAAAACCCCAAAACCCCAAAACCCCTTCAAAAGCTTGAGTGCTTGAAAATTAAAAATAAATTAGAGAAGTTATTCATCAGAGTATTCTAGTACTTTTCTAATTTCTTCCCTCACGTCTGGGACTTGGGTTTCTACCAAGGACTTGAGGAAAGGTACCAACATCCTGAGCTCTTGGTCTTCCATATCATCGAACCAATCTTTGACTAAGATTCCATTCTGAGGTTGCTTTGAGAAGCTTTCAGCAAGGTTATCAATGATCAGGATCTTATCTAGTCCTCTTCCTATTTTCTCAATATCTTTCACATGGAATTCTCCAATTGGGGTTCAGTGCTGTCTGTACAGGCGGTGAGTGATATACTTCTCCGGATCGATTTGGTCAATTATCATGTCAGCATAATCTTTTACTAAAGACAGTTTTTAAAATAGCCAATAAAAATATACTTACATGCTGCAGTGAAAATCATGAGTTCATAGTACTTTGAAAGTTCGCTTAAAAACTCTTGGACTCCTGGCCTGACAAGGTAAAATCCTTCGTCATTATAATGGATGAGGGTCTCATCCAAGTCGATGACAAGAGTATATTGATACCCTTCCTTAATAGGTGGCATTGAGATATCTTCATATATCTAGAGTTTAGAATAACCTTAGCTTACAAGAGAAGTTTCATCATAGCTCGAGCAATAATCCTCACTATTTGCTCTGGCTAGTTCAGCATCTATTTTAGCAAGCTCTTCTAGTTCTTCTTCGGTTGTATCTATCACTAAGAATTTTGGAGCAGTCTTTGAATCTTTTAGACTATCCTGCTGAGAATCTTCCTCAAGATCCTCAGACTTATTCATTGCTTGTAGCTTATTCACGATATTCGGAGTTTCAGGGTCCTTCTCCTGAGAATCTGGGAGATGGCTAGAAGGAAGCTTTGATTTTGACACTGAAAATCTTTTCAATAACTGTAGCTGGTTTAGCTGGTTTTCTTCCTTGATACTTTCATCGCCTATATTGTTCATATTAGAAATTACTGTTTAGAGTTGCTTTCCTATCATTCTTTCTTGATGTTTTTCATTCAAAGCTGCTATTCTTTAATAAAGGAGACTGATATTTGCAATCCTTCGATTCCTCCTGCGAGGCTTGCTCAGCAATAGGCTTATTTGTCATAGCATAGTCAGATTTTGACCTCTTCCTTTCATCATGATGGTTACTAGGAGTCATAAACTCATCAAGGACATCAAACTTTGTCTTCTTATTAGGTGAGAGATTAGTCTCATTTAGAGAGAAAGTTTCATCATCTCCAATAGTAAGGAACTGGTTAACATCAGTGAAATCTATACTATCCCTTCCTATGAGATGGTCTATTTTATCATGATCAGGTAATGGGTCAACTCTGATGGAGTCTTCAAGATTTTCAAATTTGATAGCATCATATTTCTGTTCATTCAACTTATTTCAGTCAAATCTTTTATTATCGCGAGCTATTGGTTTCTTCTGCCTAGACTCTATTTCAGCATTTGGACGTTGAGTAAATGGCAGCTCTTTGATTATTTCCTGTCCTTTCATCTCGACCATATAAACCTGATTGTTGTCAAGAGTTGAGTCTCCTTCATCTTTATCCCAAACTATAGGGATAGGAGTAAGGTTAGTTGTCTCTTGAGGCTTGTTGTCTGATATTAGAGTTTTACTTTCTGAATTTGCCACTTCTTGATGAGTAACTTGCTTTATCACAACTTCTTCTCTAGCATTCTGCTTAGCTTCTTCCTTCTCTTTTTTAGAATTAAATCCATTTGTTGAGTTAAAAGTGATATCAAAATTTTTCTTATTTGGCTTTGGTGTAGCAAATCTCAATGGTTTATTATTTCTAAAGGATCAAGCTAGAATTACCTGTAATCTTTGGCAACATCTCTGAGATCTCTTTCAATACTTTTTCAGACAGACTTATTCCGCATTCTTTTGAAGAATGGAGCCACAGCGTCTGCAATCATGTCTACCAAACCAGTGCTCTGCTTTTTCTTGTTAAAGCTATCATTTAATGTTGGAGCTTTAGTCTGATTCTCAAACCTGGTCAGCCTTTCATCCTTCCGAGTCATGAATGCTTTCTTTTGAGGTACTGGAGTGGGAGTCTTACATTTCTGAGTCAAGCTCATTGCTATATACTTCGAAGGAGTTCCTTGAGGAGTTTCTAGAGGTTTCTTAGTCACCTCCTGAACAGCAGTCTTCAAATTTTGCTCTTGCCTTCTATTGACTTGGAAGGTCTTGTTCATAGTATAAGTTCCTGAGTTATATGTACTGCTAGCAAACTTATTCTTTGTAGGGGTTGAAGTCCAATCTTTCATAACAAGACCATTTTTGTCCTTCTTCATTTTCTTGTACAAAGTCTTTTCATCATTTTTGAGAAAATTTTCAAGAGATTCATCTTGAGGATTCTGGTGAGAAGAGTCTTCTATAAATTTGTTGCGGTCTACTTCTTTCTTCACATCGTTTCTCAATGTTTTTGATAAGACCTGGGGAGGACTATTCTTGGTAAACTGAGCCAACTGCTTTGCCTCTGGGGGGACTGGAACAGGAATTATAGGGTTTGGATCTTCCGACTCACAACTTGCTTGATCAATATAGGAATCGTTTTCATCATAATCTTTCCAAGCTTTTGATGGCTTATACTTCTTAATATCCTTTGAATTCTTAACTGATTTTTTGTGTCTATTTTTAGAATAAAATTTTTCAAGTCTGCTTGAAGAGTTTTCAAGATGAAACTTGCTCGAGTTTTGCTTGTCATTCTCTAAGTCAAAACTCTCTCAGTTTAAATCCCTGAAATCTAGAACTCTATTGGTTTTAGTCTCTTCAAAGCTGAGGTTCTTTTCATAATAATATTTAGAGTGAGACCTCTCAACTACAGAGCTTTTGTTTACTTCAATTTTATATTTTTCCTTTTTCAAAGAGTTCTCATTGTATTTGAAGCTCTTCTTCTCACTGAAAATATCTGGAGAATTATCTTCTCTGTCATCAAGACGTTTCTCTCGTTCCTAGAGGGTGAAATGACCAACTTACAACCTGGACATCCCAGTCTTGAAGCCTAGGTGCTTTCCGAATATTGACAGTTGGGCTTGGCTTTTGGAGTTTTGTCTCTTTCACAATAGCTAGAAATGATTCTAAGTTGCTTACCACTCACAATGGTTCGTACATCAAGAAGATCTACAGTTTCTAGCCCATTCAAAATTCTTAAAATCTGATTCTGAAAAGTCCAGTTCGAATTGTTTGACTTTAGCAGGTCCTTAATCAAGATAGTACAGATCTCATTGTTGTTAGTTAATAACGCTGAGTTGTGAACACCATATAGCTCCTCCATCACTGGCCTTGTTCAAAGAATGTTATTCAACCTGGTAGCCCAGTCCATTGCAGAGTTATACTGATCATCGCTCAAATTATTGTTGATGAATTGTATGAATACTAAATAGCTTCTTTGTAGGTATTTGATCAAATTCTTGGCCTTACTCCAACATTGAGAGAATTTATAGATGAAATTTTGATGGCTTTCAATAAATCCGATGAAAATACACAAGAGAACTTGATGGTTTTTGATCAACCTTCTGGATAGCTCTTCTTCAAAGAAAACTTGCATTTCTTTAACAGATGAGTTTTCTGTGATTTCCCACCATTGGACTCAGTAATCTTGGACCGACTTCTTCTTCATGATGTTTCCAAGGATTTTGTTGATACAGAGTTCCTCATCAATGAGGTGCTCCAAGTTGACTACAAGATTATCTTTTATGTCATCTGTCAGGACTTCAGTTGAGAAGTCCTGAATTGTGGGATTCAGCTCATCTAACCGGTCTTCGTTATAAATATTATCCCTGATTGTATTAGCTTCATAGCTCATTTGAAGTACTTCTTCAGGCTCTCTGATGTTGGTTCCTGTATAAGGCTCTCTAACCGTGATTGGTGCCCTTCCTTTGTGATGATATCTATTTTTCTTAGTCTCAGTATTTTTAATCATCTTTCTAACAGCATTTGGTACTGGGATCCGTGATTTGGTGAGAAGATCGTTCTCATCAGTATTTGATCCCTATATGATGTTAATAGTACAAATTACCCTTCTTTGGGAATATTTCTTAGTCATTTTAGGTACTTTAGGTTCTTCTTGATACGATTTCTATTATTGAAGCAGCATTTTTACCTTTGACCATGTTCTTTTTATTTTATCTTTAGCTATCGTTTTGGGATGTCCACCAGATTGCCCAATTTTTGAAGCATTAATCTTGATTGGATCTGGATCCTCTGGAGGATTTTTGAATGATTTGCAGCCCTTTTCTTTGTACTTTAACGATTCCTGAGGCATGCTCTGGTAGTTTCTCTTGCTAGTAGAGCATTTAGATGTATATGCTGATTTATTTTGTTTTTGAGCTGCTGAAAAATCCTTTGAAATAAAATTATTCTTTTGTGATCACCTAAGATCTCTGGTATCACAATTCTTAGGAGAATTTCTAAGTCTTTCGTAAGATCTCTTGCTCCCTCGATTTATTTGAAAAGTCTTGCGTTCTTCATAATTTTCAGTTTCTATGGGAATTATGAGTATCTGCAGTTAGATAATTTAACGAATATATAAATACTCATTTTTGCGTAATTCAAAATCCAGTGCTTACCTTCTTTGCAGTGTGCAGAAATCTTGGCATCTATTGTTGCCCTATAGTTTCAAGTTTAGACGTCTAGCAGTAATTATTTCACCGAAATTGTCCAATCTCAGACCTCTTGAGAACAGAAAGGTGAATGATGATTTCGCCAAATTAAATTTACAAAAAAATTCCTAAGATAGTATTCGAAGCATACCTCGTTTTCTTTTGGCCTCCCTCTACACTCCGGTACTGATATTTATCATATCATTTCTTCGTGGCCGAGGCATTGGGCTTATAGGTAGATTTCTTGGTAGCAGACTTCTCATTAGATTTATCAGACTGGTAATAATCCTGATAGTCCTTCCTTTGAAAAGTTGAGTATGCTGCCATCTTCTTATTTATCATTGGGCTTCTCGACTGAGTTTGGGAGCGAAAGAGCATTGGGCTGTTCATAACTGATTTTATTTAGCACTGATTTCATCTTCATTGTTTAAATTATCTATTATCTATAATTAAGCTAAGTAAAGGGGTTTTGGGGTTTTGGGGTTTTGGGGTTTTGGGGTTTTGGGG